CCCCCTGGCCACTTCGGTGCGACTAGGTGGTTAAGTAGATCAGGACCTACTCAGCAACCCGGCTCTGTCAGCCTAAGACAATCCGGTGGCTTACGTTTGGTCGTAAGGCCTCGGTTCTCTGAGCACAGTTGCTGACCTGGTCTTTGCAGATGGGGCACTGACCCAGTCTACATTCTCGAAGTATAGTCATCTCACTCTGTGGTGATAATAAAAATCGATGGACTCAAGGAAACCCTGTAAGTCTTACGTTCTGTACACGAACAGGCGGCTCATCGACCGCATGGTTAGAACCCTTACCCTAACCCGGACCCTAACCCTAACGTAAGCACTCTCCACTTAATCGTGGAGGCTCTGATTAACGTTCTAAACCGTTGGTGGTGGCAGCCTAACCCGAACCCTAACGGAACCCTAACCCAAACCTTAACCGTCCACCATATTGGACAAGGTATTCACCGTGCGATATGTCATCCACTCTCACGGTGTCGTGTGACTTGCGCGACTTAACTAGGTAAAGCCGTAACTCTTCTGGAAGTGGGGTCCCAGTCGAGGGCTGCTCCAATGTGGGCGGCTTGGCAACTCCTTCCTGGTTTCGTTGCAATGGTCACGTGACTCATGGGAGTCCACCCCACGTGGCTGCGGAGACTGCCGTGGCTGGTCGGATAAAACCGAACACAAGCTCGCGTGGTGTGCGGGCCGTGGCCTTCCTTAAGTGGGAGGTTGGTAACCTTTCTGATCGGCTATCGCGGACTCCGTGGTTCGCGGGGCGGGTGACATCATCAATCAAAGAATGCCTTGGCAGCATCATCATGTGGTTCCCGGCAAGGGGAAACCTCGGAGTCGGCATGGCAAGCCGATATCACATGAATCCGGAACTTAACCGTGCCGGTATGCCGTTCGCACAGTATCGCTGACGCGTACAAGGTTTTATTTAGAACAACCAATCCCTTTCAAAGAATTACGGAGGTAAAGTTTCTCCGTAATTTGAAATGTCCCAGAAAGGTAGGGCCATTGTTCCTCGGCTGCTCGGCAGCCGACGGCATCGGCTCGGAGCTACGGGAAGTACTTCCGCTTAGTCGTGCACACTGACTTAGCGGCCCGTCAAATTTCAAAATACTACGCAGACCTGAAGAGCATAAAATGCGAAACGGGTAGAGGCTTAGTTCCCCAGAGAACTAGCCCGTTGTCTGCTAGTTTCGCTTACTCTAGTCACTCTCCGACTCGCTGCGCTCGTCGTCGAGTGCCTCCCTAACCCTAACCCTAACCCTAACCCACCGAAACCATGTGGGGACGCTCCTTCGATGATCCCTCAAGAAAAGTCTCTCTCGATCTCGCCGAGTGCCGCAGCGTCGCCTACTTCGCCATCACCCGCGCCGACATCGTCGAGAAATACCGCCCCCGCCTCCTCAAGGCCCATCCGATCCTCCGCTACCTCCGCCGTGAGATCCGCGACTTCATTCGTCGCGAGGCCAACTCCCCCGACTGGGATTTCATCGACGGCTATCGTGACGTCGACGTTCCCGACGACTTCGACCCCGCGCCATCCAAGACCGCCGCCGACATGGACACGCGCCTCGCGTCCACCCAGTTCATCGAGAAGAACTTCAATGCGCTCTACAAGTCCATCGTCGGCAACCCCCTCCTCGCCAACATCATCATCGCCGGCAACGAGCCCGTCGGCGCCCGCCAGCCCATGCCCACCCAGATTGCGGAGATGACGAAGGCGTTCCTCGACGTACGTGTATCATTCGTCTCGTGTTCTATTCGCCTACTGACATATATTTCTCATTTCCCTAGCATGTTCTCTATAGCGCGTCCTACCTCTCAAAGCTTACGACCCCGGGTACGCGCCCCGAATGGCCCATCCAGTGGGACCACGACACGCAGAGCACCATCCGCCTGCGCTTCCCGCCCGACCTCCATCCCTTCCCCGCCGACCTCGTCATCGCCGACGCGTCCTCGCAGGATGCCTCCCCCTCCACGTCCGCCCCCGCCGTCTCCTCGTCGACCACTCGCCAGCGCAGGGCGACGCGGGCGACAGCCGCCGCAGACTCCGCGGGTGCCACAGGCAAGAGACCGGCGGCGCGTCCTGCCGGACGAATGGCCTCAACAGTCTCGGCCAAGGGCAAGGGCAAGGACAAGGAGAAGGAGATCATTCCCGAGGAGGAGGAGGACTCCGACAGGCCGGTCACCCCCGACTTTGTCACCAACCCTCCTCCGCCCCGCCGCTCTCCGCCCCAGCGCCCTCCTTCCCCCTCTCCCGTCACCGAGCAGTCCGGCAAGCGACCCCGAGGCAATACCAGCAGCTCCGTCGGCTCCAATCCCGCCACCAAGCTCTCCCCTCGTGCTGCCAAACGCTTCCGCGAGAACACCTCGATCAACATCTCCGACGACGACGACGACGATGACGGGCTCGTCCGCCCTGGCTCCCTCCTGACCTTCGTCCCCGGCAGCTCCCAGACTCTGCCGCCCGACTCTTCTCTCCCCTCCACCCAGCCTGCGGCGATGAGTCAGGGTCAGCTCACCCAACACCTGGGTGGGTATGGTGAGGACGAGTCTGCTCACAATGACAACGCTGAGAATACTGATGACCGCGAGGACGGTGAGATCGTCGACGATGGCGACGTCGGTGAGGACGGCGACGAGGACGGCGATGGGGACGACGACGACAACGGGGACGACGACGGGGACGGTGATGGGGATGTCGACCCACTCGCCATGGATGTGCTCGAGAAGAGCGAGGGGGTCCAGCTCGATGGCTAGCCGCCTGCGTCGTCACTTCGGGGATTAGTATTATGACACTTTAGTTCTATAGCACACTCCGCGTTTTGTATTCTTTACGACGTTTAATGACATTACGATTACAATAGACATTGTAAGATGACTGAATATACCCGCAAGAAAAGGGAAGCAACCGTCCCGTGACGATTGCTACGTGATATCGGACGCCCAGCGAGTGACACAGCCGCTCGACAAAAACCAGGAGGCTATCGTCCCGGGACGATTGGGCCCTCAATTCTGGTCACGCCATCCACATCACAACAACTCGCCTAATACGAGGACCCAATCGTCCCCGGATGGTTGCCTCCGCTCATCTGACGTATCTGATACGCAACCGTCTCGGGACGATCAGGGTACGCATGTTGCCTTCTCATAATATGCATACCCGTCTTTCGGTACTGTCTTGACAAATTAGTATGTCCTTCCCCCCTATCCCCGCAGGTTCTTATCTACCGCTCTTATATACCCCGCATGAGTTTCCTTTCCTTGTCTCCCCCCATTTCCTTCCCATTCGCACATCCCTGCTGCCTCCATGCCTGAGCCTCTGCCCTACCCGACCATCCCTGCCATCGACGGGTACCTCAACTCCGCCAACATCGAAAGGCTCGATGGACGGATCGTCATGGCTACTGTCGGATTCTTGCGCGTATGTCGCCATTGCCTCCTCCTCAATCTCGTCCTTCTCATGCTCTTTGCCCAACAGCGCACCGGCGACATCGCCCACTGCTTCCTACCAAGCAACGGCTTCTACCCCATCAGTGTTCATCTCCGTCCCGTGAGTGTCTCGTCCCTTCCTCCCCTGCGTCTCACTCCTGCGGCGTCAAGGGCACTGTCATTCCCCCCGGCGTCCACTATCTCCAGTTCTGGGGACCAGTCATGTCTCCTCATCGATTGGACCATCGGCGCATGCGCGAGCTCGACCATCCCTTCGAGT